TTTGGGACCGTTGCTCTTTATTTTATATACTGCCGATTTGATTAAGGGTATTAATGATTGTAGATATCATTTGTATGCAGACGATTTGCAGTTATACATTTCTTTTCATCCACACAAAACCAATATAGCAGTTCAAAAATTGAATATGGATTTAAATCGTATATCAGATTGGTGTTATCAAAATAACTTAGTTTTGAACTCAAGTAAGTGTAAGTTTATGATATTGGGATCAAAATATGTGAGAAAGGAAATTGCAGTTCGATCTCCAGAGGTGCTCATTGAGGGGAATCGACTGGAATGTGTATCGCAAGCCCGTAATTTGGGTATAATTATGGACGGTAGTTTAAGATTTGAAAGTCATATTTTGGAACTCGTTCGTAATTGCTTCTATAGGCTGAAGGTTTTATGTAATATTCGCGATTATTTGAGTACTGAAATGCGTGTCACATTGTGCAAAACACTTGTTCTTTCGAAACTTAATTATGCTGATACTGTGTTTGGAAGTTGTTTGCTAGAACGTACAAAAAGAATTGTACAACGTGTTCAGAATGCGTGTGCACGGTATTGTTTTTATGTTCCTCCACGCTCCCATATTACTCTGTTTTTAAATAAAAATCTCTGGCTTAATATGTCTGCTAGACGAAAGGTACACTTTGCTTCCCTTCTTTTCGGAATCATAAAAACAAAAGACCGGAATATTTATATAGCAAGTTGAAATTTTCAAATCGTCACGTGAGAATGGCAACTCGGTTGTTAACTCAACAACATAAAACGGCTGCTTTTCGTGGCAGCTTCCGCTTTGCTGCTACGAAGTGTTGGAATGACCTGCCACCACCGATTAGAAACTGTAAGACATTAAATACCTTTAAGAATAATTTTAAAAAACATCTTTTGGAACTACAAATATCCAACACGTAGGCAGTCGTAGGTGATTACACGATATGTTAATCAGATATATTTGTTATCGTATTATATTCATTTGGTGGTTTAACAGCACTTATAATATTAAAAATTCATATTTGTCATTAATTAAAAGGGTGTTTTTTGCAACGACTTCTTTGTTTTTTTGTAATGAATATGGGCGACTCTGGCCACATTTTTTTAATAAATGTGATGTTAGCCAATTTTGATTTCTGGCCCTTATATTTATAATGTGTTCATAACACATACATGTCTCCTAAGGGATTTTCATCACAACCTTTTGCTCTGATCCAGAACCACTATCTATCAAATTAAATTAGTCAATATAAACACCAGATTACAATAAAAAAAACATTTATTTTTGTTACAATTAAGTGCCATGGATAAATTACATAATACAGGTGTCACAAAATCATCATGTTAATCACAATAGAAAATTTAAGATAAGATTTTGACTATGAATCAGACTAAAAATACTTTAGTCTGATTCATAGTCAAAATCTGTTTCTAAATATTCTACACCTGATAACAATGACAAGGAATCATCAGAGTCACTCTCTTCACTACTGTCTGCACCAACAGATATAATAAATTTTTCAAGTTCGTTTTCAACAATGCCATCTTTTAATTTGTAATCATTTTCGACATTTAAAACATGATCAGTGTATTTCTTCCAGTCACTAGGGGTAATTAAGTTAAAACACTCTATTATTAAGTTTTCCATTTCCTTTCCTGGTATTCCAATGTTTCTGCTTGCAATTTTTCTTTTTGCTTGACTCCAAACCATCTCTATTGGGTTTAAGTCACAATGATACGGTGGCAGCAATAAAAGTTCATGATTATGTTCTTTTAAAATCTCTTCAGCTTCATATACAGGCAATGTTTTCTTATCATTAACCAAACACATTAACTCTGCCTTTGTCTGATATTCCTCAAAATGTATTCCATTATTTACAAGCCATTTACGGATATCTGCTTTGGTATTAGACATTATAGGCGGTTTATTGATTTGTTTTATATGGTAGCTGGCATTATCCATAACAATTACACTGGGCTTACTTAAATTTGGTATTAATTTTTCTCTGACCCATTTCATAAAGTTCGATGAGTTCATATCATCATGATAATCAGCAGATTTGGATTTACTACTGAACACTAATAATGCACCAGGCACAAAACCTTCCTCAGATCCAGCATGCACAACAATATGCCGTTTTCCAGAGGATATCTTTGTAGTGACACCAGTTGTTGAAGGTCCTTGCCAAGACTTTTTAACTTTATAATTCTGATGTACATAAGTTTCATCAAGGTACACAATTTGCTTTCCTTCGTTTCGTTTTATATTTATTTCTCTCAAATACTTGTGCCTCCATGCAGAAATCTGGTATTTTTCTATAAGCATAGAACGTTCATTTTCATTGCTTTTAAAAGAAAATCCATTCTTAAGCATAATTTTTCGTAAAGTCTCACGGCTACCACTGAATCCTATTGCATCTTTTAATTCATTGTGAAGGCTTCTTAATGTTGGAACAATTTTTTTCACACAGTAAAATTCATTTACTTTATTCCGAATTGCACTTAAATCAAAATTATCTAAAGCAGACACTGTTGGTTGATGAGGTCGTTTTTTCCCAGGAGTGTCCCATTTTCCTTTATTAATTAATGCTTCATTTTTTATCCTTCTTAGTGTCCTTATACTTACATCTATAAAAGATTAAACACTTTGAAACAAAGATATGTTAAATGTATTTAAAAGCAAATAATGATAGACACATACATCAAAATAATTTAAATACCTATTCAACTATGAATGCAATTTATGTTTAATTTAGTTAAGTTTATGTGCATATTTAGCATGTATAACAATTACATGGTTTGATTAGTTTCATGAATTCTGTGAATTTCCTTGTTAAACAAAACATTCTTATGACATCATTGGATGTCAACAATAAAAACCAATACATCATAAAAAACCTATGTAAATATTATAGGAATACTATCAATCTATCTTAAATCAAAACAAGAAAAGAGACCTGTCATTGAAGAAATTTTTTGTAAGTACTGCGTTTCCGAATTCAGCATTTCTTGTTTTTCTAAAGTTTTTATTGCATTTATCTCCTCCATTATTGGTTGAATATCACCATCACAGTTATCTGAAATAGAGCAATATTTTATAAAAAATATCTGTTTAGTTAATTACAGAAAATTAAAACGAAAGTATCAAAATTATAATACAAAACTAACCTAAAAAAGATACAACTTTATCTAATCGTTGTAATTTCTCCATGAAATTTTTATTTAATTCAGTTTTCACTTCAGTAAACTTGTCAATCATGATGGAAAGAAGTTTCCTCGATGAACTTTTTATCGGCTTCGACATAATTTTTAACCAAAAACACAAGTTCAAATTCGCAAAAACAACAAAATTCAATATTCTTGAATTGTCTAACGTAGTGTCAAACTGACAGTTCTATGTTGTTGCCATATGAAAACGGAAAAATAGGTGGTGTCACGTTTCGCTTGCCAAACTCTAGCAAAAATTTACCAATAGTAAACATTTATCGTCGGAAAGCTTTTTACTGCAAATCTGGATTTTGGTTCTGCTGTATTACAGTATGTTAAACATTGATGTAAGGGCTACCTTCTACAACCCTTTAAATATGATAAATCGTTTTGAAAGTGCATAAAATTGTAAGAAACCGTAACAACTACAGAACAACATGACGTTCAGCATTTTCGTCCGATTCGCACGAAATTTGAAATTTTATAGTTTAGATTTAATTTATGACATTTACTGATGGAATAAAATATTTATACATTTTTTTTCATCATCAATGAAAATTCAAATTGAGATACTTTTCAAAATAGGTGAAATACCCTATTGCGATCCATTGATTGAAAAATATACGAATAAGTGATTTTTAAATATTGGAATTAGTCGCTTTTAAGGATTATTACGGGTTTTGGTTGTCAGTAGAGTTAGCGAATAGATCTGCAGGAAAATAAAAATATCTTCACTTGTATTTGTTTCTTTATTTCTCATCTCTACTAATATCGAAAATGGCTATTACGCTTACTCCAGTTACATCTTTGGTTTAACAGAAGAATAAATTATAAATCTATGTATACGGAAGCCTATGACATAATTGTATAAACGGTCATCGACGGCCAACGGGTTTCTCGAAGGCATAATTTAGGCTAGGTATTATAGGTGTACTGATACCTTTAATGCCTTTAATCTTTCGCTTATTTCGTGCCATTCAAAGTGCCATCACGTTCTGCTAACAACTGTCAAGACTCAAGTCAATGAGTAAATTGTTGTGAATATTTATAAAAATATAAATTTATTTTGTAAAATCTCCCAAAAAGTCATAAATATCTCAGGCGAGAATTATTGTTTTTAATGTTTAAAGCTATATTTGTGAAAAGAAGCTGAAGATCGACGATTTTTTTTTAAATTAAAGTGTGTTTATGACATGGCCGGTAACTAGCAATGACTAATCTAATCACTTTATTGGGAAATGAGATATTAATGAGGAAGTATTTGAAAAAAAAAAAATAGTTCCCGAAATCAAACAAGATGTCGCTACGGTACGTTCTTGATTTCTCCACGACAACCTTTCCGGTTTTCTTTCATGTTTAAAAGTAAATTAGTTTTCAAAACTCAATAAACATTAAACAACTCATATTCTATTTGTACTTTTTCGTATTTGTATTGATATCTAAGTTTCAAACTTTTCAAATTTCAGTTTTTTTATACGTTAGTTAAAAGGAACTGAAATTACTGTCTTTGGTCCATTCGTGGAGGTGCTTTTTAGTGCTTTCGTTTTTTAAATAATTCCTCATTAATAAAATATTAGATGTTGCTAATATCTCTATATACAGATTCTGTATACAGAAAATAAAATTTCCCGATTTGCCATAATTTAAAATGAGATTGTCTAATTATCGTAGGACGGTTTTGAACATTATGTCTTTAGTCAGTATAAATGAAATCTCTTTGTTTCAAATTCAAACCAACAATATCCATCTATCTCTATGGTCAATACTACTCTTTGGTCTTAATGTTGAGTGCATGTGGTACGTTGACGTTCTGCAAAGAGCAAGCAGAATTTTTCACTTTTGGTCGGCCATATTGCTTTGTCGCCGTGCGTGCGTCTTTTATTGAATCATAGAAGCATAAGGTAATTATGATCTTACCTGATTTCATGTTATTCAAAATTAATATTTGTGATATTGCCAGAATTATAAATGTGGTGTTAATATGACATATGATTTTTCTCAATGAGACAAGTGAAGTGGGTATATTTCTAGCTAGTGCCACCTTGACTCTTGGAATATGTGTATTGGAGTGCACGAGGTGTATGATCGTACTGAACTCTACGTATGTCATCCTTCACAAAGGTTTTTACCAAACTGTAAAACTACATTATGTGTTCGGATAGAACTCTGTATATCTAGACGTTTACACATAACGACATTTCAAATTTATTTGAAACTAGATATACAGGTACCTATGTTCAATAAAGGCGTAACTGTGATATCGGATATGTTACATTTCCTAATTTTTATTGTGATGCTGGAATATGATTTTATAAATAACAAAGGGTTCAACTAAAAACACAAATTGCGAATTATATTTTGTTATTGCTAATGCTCTTAGGGGGTAGTTTGTTATTGTTTATTATTATTAATAAGATTCTCTTAGAATTACTAGACATTACCTACTTTTAGTTCAAAGTAAATATAGTAGTTAAACAATCATAATGTTAGATTCCTAATGTATTTATTTTGAACATTAATGATGTTAACTTATTTATTAAAGTGATTATTATAAACCTATTATAATATTTTAATTTTTAGTTGTCACTATAGAATATGTTTAATAAGGGTTCTTATAAATAACTTACACTATTAATAGAAAGCTTTTGCGATACTGGTATTGGATATTTAAACAGTTTCTTTAAATCTATCTGTTAAAACTCCTAGGTTGTAGAGCTGTTTTTTTTTTTAATATTCATTCATAATATAGCTACAGACCACTTACAACAAATTATTTCTGTATAGGGAGTTAATCTATACAAAACCTATACAACCTAAACATAATTTTAAGGTGGGCTGTCATCCTTTATTCCTGTTTTCTCCAAGGGAAAGGCCTGTACTCCAGTAATTGGTCAATATGCTGATCATAATTCATTTCGCCATTAAGTTTAAAATAGTAAAATATTACATATCAATGTACATAAAGTGATTAAATGTAAAATGATATACCTTTTGTTTATTTTTTAATATTACTTGTGAAATGTCACCATGGGTTAGAATCAAAATTACTAATGCTTCATCTTTGTTGTAAATTATAACAAGCATTTGTTGTTATGAGATTTTTGTGTAATTTTGTTTAATTCATAAAAATAGCATTATAATCAATCAACTATGTGCATTCCAATCTATGTTCAGTTAAATATAACACTGGTAGTCAATATTTTGCTTAAACTAGACCAAATTTAATTTGGAGATAACAAGTGAAACTGGTATTATATTATACAGTAATATCATTGCAAGTCATTGATATATGTCATTACAGAATAATGTTACAAGAAACTTTTTTTAAAGATTAACTTATATAAAATTTGATAGTGGTTTGGTACAACATATGGATTGGCCACCATTGGAAGTCAAATTCTAATTACATGCTTAATAATCTCTTATGAATTAAAATAAATTAGTAATTGTTATAATGTTATAGTTTGTATAGCATCATGATCACCTAGAAATTTTAATTTCACTTAATTTCTTTTTTATTTTCTATATAACGTTAGAAAGTTCACTAGATAACTAATCAGAAATTTTTATTTAATCAAAATATTAGAAAAAATATCTGTAGTGATATCAACAACTAGTCAATTTTCTTTATTTACATAGGAAGCAATAATAAATTCTTTTTACTTAACTAGAACTTAAAAATCCTTTATTAATTTGTATATGGAAGATCTAATATGATTTTAGGTTGATCATTGTGATCTATAAACTTATCCATGTGTGAATTCACTAATAAATTTGTAAATATTTGTGTAGAAGCTGCATTGTAATATTTATGCTGATGCGATTTATTTCTTATTGCTGATTTGCGAATATTTTGTATGTCAATAGTTTCATGTCAGTAAATGATATGTATTAATACCAAATGTTATTAAATGTTCAGGAAACTTGGTATATATCTGAATATTTTACACAATATGTTATGATATTAAAAGTTTTTGTGTAACCTCTGTTAAAATTTGTAAGATTTTTCTGTCCTGAACAGTTAATATTTTGAGATATCATTCTTTCAGCCAGACTTCAGTTGTTGTCTACATCTGTTATTGAAATTCATCACTGTCAATAACTAACAATACCATGGGTGATCGCAACAACCCCATAAAGTTTGGTCCGGAGTGGCTCCGTAACTTGGCCCGTGAGGGTAACACTGGCACATCTGGGAACAACATTCAGAGTGCTATGTCACCAAACTCTGCCAACACTGGAGCTACAGGTTCATCATCTGGAGGAAACGCAGCATCGGGTTCGAACTCAGGAAACACATCCAACACTTCCCAAAATATTTCGCCGAAAGTACAACTTGCAAAGCTTAGGTCTGAACATTTAAATATTTATATTATTTTATTTGACATTTTTGTATACACTATTAATTATTTATATCTTATAGATATGGCAGAGAAGAAATGTTAGCATTATATGATAGAACTTCAGAGGCACCTCCTGAGCTAAAATTTATTGAGTTGCTTTATCAACCTAGAGGAAAAGCACCATTTGCCCTAAACAACACGTTTGAGGATGAGATTGTAAGCATAAAAGCAATATAACTAATTGTTACTTAATTATTTGTTACACTGTTTGATGATTATTCTAAGCTCTAATAAATGTTCCCAATTTCAAAAGTTGTATGGTTAAAGTGGCATTAAACCAATGGTAAATTTAATGAGCATTTTTGTGACTGGCGACTGACAGACCTGACGATGCGATGCGACCAGAATTTTGCGCGGCTTCACAAATTGCTGGCACAACAATTAAATTTAAATTTTCATTAATAGATAAATTAGATAGTCCAATAGATAAATTAGATCAGTTTGTTTAATTTGGATTTAAATATCAATTAATATTTTTAGCAAAGAGAAAATATGAGAAGTGGTCCACCAATAGGTAGTATTTCTCCAGGGGAGAGATTTGGTATAGGTCGTGGAATGGGACGTGGCCTGAGTGTTAGTGATGGAAGAGGAAGACCAAGAATGCCCTTTGTTCGTTCACCATCTACAGGAAGGTTAGGAAAATATCTTATTTCTAAAATTTTAATCATTCTGTTAAAATTTCCTTTATTATATTAGTTTTCATGTTTCAAGGGGATCGACTGCATCATGGCATCTTGGTAGTCCTAGAACACCAGGATATAATGCTGGAGTAGATGATGATACATCTCTAAATCCCCGTTCTCCCTGGAGTGGTGGCAATGGAAGTAACGCAGTTAACAGAAGCAGTGGAGAACAAGCAGAGTGGACACCAAGTAAAATGTTCAGGAGGTATCAATTTATATACTTTCATTTAATTCTCCCTTCACCATTCATTAAGTATCTCTTTGGTGTCTATTACATGTATACAATGCATTATAATATAATAAATAAAAATTAATTGCTGTGAAATAAACTTATGCCATTCATCTCCATTATAACATTGATAGTTCTTCCATAAAGGTTCAATCTGTTTTAAATTTTATAATGTCTAATTTTGTTTTGTGATATTACATATAAAATGAAAAGTAATAAATATATTCACATGAGCAATTATATTTGATTTTTATCTATAGTACAGTTGCTGATTTGATATTTAAAATTATTTAAAAAAATATGATTACAATATTAAATCATTATTTTATAGCAAACGTCAGGGCTTAGCAACAAATTGGAGGCAATCTCGAGAAGAAGGTGAAGAGTGGCGTTCATCAGATGCCGGAAGACGCTCCAATCAGCAAGATAAATGGGGTTGGTAATTTTTTAAGCAAATTAATCCATTGCCCTTTTCTCTTTATGTCCTATTAAATTTTTTGATCTTAATACTAGAACTGATATTTATCTTTTAAAAAAATTGCTTCATACACCTTTCACCATGCACAGGATGTCGTTGCGGGAAGAAATCTGGGGGGTTACCATCACGTCTTATAGCAATGTTTGATCCGGTTCTGCAAGCATGCACACGGAATCATTGCTATAGGTGCTGATATATAAATTTTGCCAAAAATTATGCCCAGTGTGGTCAGTAAGGGTGCGCCCCACATAACGTCGCAGACCTGCGTGGGGATATTCCAATTCGCGTAATCAAATATAACACAAAAAAGCTATTTATATTCACTGAAAATATGGTAATTGAATAGCTTTATAATCGAAAGTCATCTAGACATCTTTGATATGTTTTGATTTAAAATGAGTCCATATCAATTATTTAGTAGGCCAATAAGTAATTTGTGTAAATACAATGCTATTCTAGAATATTCTGAAACATATTGCCTAAGAAAGGTAGGTTTGGTATGGGGACTGCAATTTTTTGCACTTATACTCCTTTGCCTGTCCATTCTATGTGAAAAATTGGCTGTTTTATTCCAGCCAACCTAACTTCGTTCAGAAGCGCAGAAGCTACTTAGGGTCTTCATATGCTTCACAGAGTTAGATGGGTTAACAAGTATATGTGCCTGACCAGTGTGCTACCACTCTCTTACATTTTATGATTGACTAATATTCACAGTTGTTTGCTGGAATAGGAACAATAAATAGTTGGTGATTATGTAGAAGATACATTAGTAATGACTTTAATTGTTTGAGCCAAGCTGAATTGACTAGAAGTTAATTCGGCTTGGCTACATAATTTATATGTCTGATAATTTCTATTGTACTTTTATTTATATTTGTTGTGCCTATATACAAACAGCAGCTGATGCTAGCATTATTTTATGGCTCTATAAGATATTCACTCCACAAGCAAGTATATTTCTGCAACATTCTCCCTGTGCCGTCGCTAAATTTAATAGTAACTACAAATCTATCGCTACACAGTGATTTCATTGCGGCGATTAATAATGAACAAATCACTGCCCTTCTGCTACGAATCGCAACGTAATCTTAATTTTGGTATGCTTGTAGTTCGATAATAATCAATTATTAAAAATTGACAATCAAACTATAACTCATGAAAAGATTTAACATTATGTATAAATGTTCCCAGAACGAGATTGGAGCGATAGACCGACCCAAGATAAACCACAGAACTGGAATTCGAACCGTCGCACATGGGTGGGTGGAGAAACTCAGAACAGTGATGATCTACCAGAATGGTAAGAGAATGTGTTATAATTTTTTAATGTGGTTTTAGTCCCCTTTTCTGTAATGTTAACACCAACACATATGAGAATGAGACCTTTTTATATTATGGATTTTATAGTAAGAACACAGCATACACAAAGGTATAACTTTTTATTTCATCTATTACACATTGGATTATTGATATAACAAGTTTGTAGGAATATCATAAAATATAACGAGGAAGTATTTTAAGAAAAAAAAACTGACTGAACTGACAACTGAAATTTGCAAAGTTCAAAAATTAGATATCAATACAAACACGAAAAAGTAGAAATAGAATATGAGTTTTGAAAATTAATTTACTTTTATACATGAAAGAAAACCGAAAGGATTGTCATGGAGAAATCAAGAAATCATAGCGACATCTACTTTGATTTCGGGAACTAATGTTTTTTTTAAAACTTCCTCATTAATAAAATAGAGGCTTATACAGTATACTTACAATAAATTAACTAAATACATGTTTAATAAGATGTATCACACTGGTCTGGAGTGACATATTCAAGTGTATTACAACTCGGGCTGTCCTTTACCCTGCATATCCATAATGATTTCGTTTGTCTAATTTTACTGATTGTAAAAAGTTTATATAAATATAGACTGCGGTAAAACTATGTTTATCCTATCAGCTTTTATTTTTAAAATATTGCATGTACATACAAAGTAAAATAAAAGTAAACCCCAATAGACATATTATATCTAGAAAAAATCATCTCAAATCCCTCAGTAAAATAAAACAAAGGAAATCTTTTTATTGCTGCTTTAAACATATGCAAAATCAGGACTGAGGGAACATTGCTAGAATCAAATAAAGCATGTAAAATGCTAAAGTGAGATACAATCGCACTTCTTGACGTTCATACTCTCAAAGAAAGTTTAATTGAATATGAAACTTCATTTTTTTCTACAAATGTGGAATAAAAGGAAAGCATGCAATAAGTTTTATTATCAATAATGATGTGGAAAGAAATATAATAGAAATCAGAGAAGTGTCCGAACATATTGCAGTCTTGAACATAAATACTCATATGTCAACAAATTTAGAAAAATGGAGTATAATTCAAATTTACTCCCACAGAAGTCTAATAAGGAGGAAATATAATTCTTTTACCCACACTTAAAGGAAGTAATAAAAACTTAATTTGTACAAACTAAATTATGGGCGGTTCCAATGCACTACTTGGTTATTTAGACAGCATGGTGAAGAAATTGCATTAGGCCTGTATTGAACTGAGAAAAAAAACTGGAAACAGTGAGAACGTAATATACTTCGCACTTGAATTTCAATTGATGTTACTGAATAAATAAACCTAGCAGAAGGTGGATGTGTATATCACGTCAAAAGCAAAATCGAAATAGATTACATGCAGACAAACACGCCTAAAGTTTCTGCTACTCAGATAAAAGCCGGTCAATTTCAACACCAACCATAGAATGGTGAGATGTAAATTAAAGTTGAAAATATTAAGAAACGATGTGATATGAAAATTTCATAGTGAAGATGTATCTTCAATGAGCACTAAGGATCCACTTCACAGCTAATCTAATACAAGAACGAGACCGAGATATGCAAATAAATAACTAAAATCAGTAAGGATATAAAATTGTGAAATAGAATACAAGGCAACACAATATGAAAATATTTAAAGACATAATCAAGGCAGGTGGTGTGAAGAGCGCTTGGGAGTTTCTGTATAGAACAAGGGAATTGATACCACATCTCTTAAGAACTCTTCAGCAAAAGATAAAACCAAGAGTTTTGGTCATACTAGTCAGCTAAGTGCAAAAAACTAGTTGAGATAAAGTAAGCAATGAATTTCTGTTAGCAAATAAAGAAGTTTTGACACCTTTACTCACCAATTTATTAAGATTACATCCCGCAGCAGTGGACTGCATCATCAATAACTTTCGACGACGAAAAAGATTACGAAGATGACAGAAATACATAGGTAACCCTGTACTTATTTGACAGTAGACTCATTAGTATTAGATAGGTCTGTACCTAACTAATACTAATGAGTCTACTGTCAAATAATTATATACAAAGTAGGTATTTGCAGATATCATCTTAAATCAAATAACAAAAGCCCTTAATGAGAATCAACCACGGGAGTAAGCGGGATTCCATGGCTCCGTTATATATTATATTTTAGTAGTGAAAATTCCAAATATTGATAATAAAAAATCACATTCAATAAGACTAGGAAGCAAGTAAATAGAAAATAGATATCATGGTCAAAGGCAACGTTTTCTTTATTCAAATTGGTAAAGTAAATATAAACTCCTTTGAATAGTTTATTTCATCTCTCTAAACCATTCTGACTTTTTTTAGCTGCTCAGAAGAATAGGCGTAAGAATCCACGTACAATTTAATAACAGTAACAACGTTTATTAAAGAAATGCTAGGTCCACTTTTATTATTATTTAAGCTTGTTTTCAGCCAATTCTGAGCTATTTTTATTTATTTCTAAAAGGTACACACACCAACAGTGTATATATGATACACTGAAAATTATTATTTGTTAAATTTAAATATTCTTATATATATACCCCATTACTGGCGTACACAACATTTACTATAAGAACGATAATGTGTTTACAATATTAATTAATGAAGAATATATATTCCTAAAAAAATCCACTTTGTCCATGTATTTTATCTTCCCTATTCCCACATGAACATTTTTGTCTGATTGTAAACTATATGATAATTTTGCTTAATTACCCAATAACGTTTACAGGGCTATGGATAATGCTGAAGCATGTGGAGGAACATTTGATTCATCTGGAGCCTTCCATGGTTTCAGCAATGACGACACTAACATACCAAAAACTCCAGAATCTACGTATCGTAAGTTTAATGTGAATTATTGTTATCGATTGTATCAGCATCAAATTTTAGTTATCTAATTCCTTTTAGCCCTCATCCGTTCACATACTCATGGCAGTTTTGCACGGTCAAAAACAGTAGAAGAAGGTTCTGAAGAATGGTGGGCTTCAGAGAAAGCAAAAAAATTATCACCAAAACGCTTTGATGCCAGTGATGTGAAATTTAAAAAGGTGATTTGATTGATAATATATATAGATATGGTTTTTATTCTCTTGTTATTTTATGTATTATTTGGTTTTTGATTATAAAAAAATATTTTTAATCATAGCAACTGAATACACCTGAGGCAAGCACTGACACAGGTACAGATTCTAAACCTTCAACAAGTAAACATGATGATCTACAAGAAATTCCAGAGAAAATTGAAAAGGCAGTACTGGCACCAGAACCATCTGAGAATGCAAGTGGAGGCCTTAGTGATGATGAGAAGTTTAATAACAAGAATTCTTACAAATCGAAATTTCCAACAGAAAGTAAAACATTTGATTCCCATATGAGATCTGAGATAAATCTTGATGAAGCAAATGAAAGCCAGGAAAGAGGCAACTTCCAGTCTGTTATGATAACACCTAATAATAGTTTGCGACAGAAACATCAAAACATAGTTTCATCAGCATCTGATGTTTCCAGGGAAAGTAATATCAATAGAGACAAGCAAACAATCCTTCAACTTCTTCAAAATGCTCCAACAAATCAAGCCCTGGAAATGTAAGTATTAAAACAAGATTAGAATTATATTCATAATGAAAAATTTTTAAAAAATCCGCTTTATTCACTCTGAGATGGGACTAGCGAAAATATAACAAGTGCTTGAAAAGTCAGTCCTGTTAGGTCCTGGATAGCTCTGCGGTTAGAGTAATCGCCCGGCTTGCGAAAGGTTATGGCTTTCGAGTCCCTTCTCAGAGTGCCAGGGACAAACTGGATTTATTAACCATTATTCATTTTTAATCATTTTCAGTATAGCATAATTAATGCAAAATTGATCAAATTTAACACAATGCTAAACTCATTTCATTAAGTAGATTAGAATTTCTGGTTTTATATAATGTAGATATCATTATTATTAAATATTGGTACTAAAAGCAATAGAAAAATTATAGTAAAAAATAAAGTAATACCAATTATATTTGGACAAAGTAATGAAATCAAATGACTTAAGATAATGTTTAATTAGATAACAAAGTTAATAAATAAATATGTTATCTCATGATTATTTGAGTCCTAGTAAAATAGATTAACTGTGAAAATATGGTACTTCATTCTTTGTTCCGTTTAATTAGTTACATGAGCATAGTAATTTTTAGCAAAAAGTTGATTGATGTCTTCTGTAATATTTTAATTATGATTATTGTATTGGGTATCACCTGTAAAAATAGATGTAAGAGTGGTCAATAAATAAATAAATGATATATTATTATGATGTAAGTATTATTATGATATATATTGATTTATATTTTTAGTGAAATGCGGAAACAACAACAAGCATCTGAGGACAAAATTGTTGATGAAATTTTTGATATGACTTTGGAAGACAAAGATGTACTATCTAAAAACAAAACAATCGCCAATCCCCTAAACCAATCAAATACTAGTAGTATATCTTCGCCCATTGTTAATTCAATGCCACACATGCAAAATTCACAGATGCAACTGAGGTTATCGAGTCCAGTATACCCTAATCAGGGAATGCCAATGAGCACTAAATCAAATATCCCAAATCCTGGTATGCCGTCAGGTTTGCAAGGTATGCCGACAGGAATGCATGGAGTGCTTCCATCTGGAATGCAATTACAATCAGGCTTACAAATGGGGGGGTTACCTCAAGCACTTCAACAAGTAACTGGTATACAGGCATTGAATATGCAAGTCAATATGCACCAAGGAGGTGGAAACCAACAGCAAGGCAGCTCCTTGCAGTCTTCTGGAATGCAACAGTCATCAATGCCAGGAAATATACAGACTCCAAGTTTACAAAGTGGAATGCAGAATACTGGAATTCAAAATTCTGGTATGACAAGCACCATGCAGCCATCTTTACAATCAGTGGGAATGACCAATTCTGCATTGAATGCGTCTTTGGGCTTACCTATAGGACCAGTTAGTAATGCTATGGGACTACCTCTTCAAGGTATACCTCCGCCGGTCTTACAAAATTCGGGAATGAATACTGGTATGGGTGGTCCAGGCTTACAAGGGCTTGGGCCTGGAAGTATGCAAAGCAGTAGCACAGGAATCTCAGGTTATCCAAACAGTGGGCTACTTGGAATGTCCAGCCCCAATGTTGCCATAGGAATGACCAGCCCTAATGTTCCTAATAGTTCATTGTTTATTGGACAGAACTCTACTAATCCTTCTGTGAGTATTCTGGATAATTTTAATGTATTTAGTTTTTTATTAATTCATTGTTCATGAATTTATATCTGAAATCTATATCAATTATAATATTTGAATGCTCAGATCGGGACATCAGGTGATATTCCAATGCCTAATAATCATGGAAATCAAAGCAATATTTTCCCAATACATGGACTCCAGCATTCAGGGTCACAAGCAACATTTGGTTCTTCAATATACAGTAATATTATGCAACAGCCGCCATCTCAACCGCCACCTACACAGAACCTTGCTGATCAATGGTATTACGAGGATCCAGAAGTGAGTTTCGTATACGTTTAAAGTGTATATTGTAGATAAAAAATATTTTTAATTTGCATTTTAAGCATCTACATATACTCAATTTAATTTAATTTTGATAGTTATTCCCGCAGAGAGGAAACGCATTAGAACCACTTAATTAAGACTATAATAGATTGCTATATAAGATATTGCAGATTAATGCAAATTGTATTTGTTTTTTAATGGGCAGTTTTTATAATAATATTTTTTTTACAGAAAAATATCCAAGGACCCTTTACTTCAAAGGAGATGTACAAATGGTACAGAGCTGGTTTCTTCAGCCCAAATCTGATGGTTCGACGGGCGTGTGATGCGCATATGCGTCCACTTGGCTCATATGGCCCAGTTGCTCCATTTTCGCAAATGGTGAGTTCTTCACAGAAAAGTTCAACAGAGAGCTTAAAGACAAAAAAATGTAGTTTATTGTTTGGTTGATCAATTTACCAATTAAGCATCCTATTTTTTAAGACTAATCTGTTTGTAAAGTTTAAAAGGTTTTTTCTGCGCATCTGCAATTAATAATAAATTTATTAATAATAACTTCATTAATTGCAGATTACATAATAGCTTTATTTATTACAGATGTAGTAAATAGAACAATAATTATTTTCATCTCTGAAAGATAATGTAACACCATAGATATCGTTCTATGTTTTCTTTCGTTCTATGGGGTCTTGTTTTATTTATGGTTCTCTGAGCTGGATTTTGTTAAGTTTTAAATTTCGATTACAGGCTTTTTTGATAAACTAGCTATATACCACTGAATACGGTTAAAGTTAGATTCGGTTTGCCTAGGATATGATGTCTTCGTTTCCGCTGTCTGGCGGTTTCGACCGATCGCCAGGGCCGCATGATCCCATTCTCAATTCACAGCAAAACCTTGGATTGGAATCGGTAAGTGTTCACTGGACGGTTTTCTAATCCATCATACGTTCATTATCATTTCAGGTGCACAAACATTTATCTAAAATGTTTATAAAACTCATTTATTAACATTTTACGCGAATAAGTAGGTTTTGCAATTAAATATTACAGTCCCAACACTCTTAATTCGAAGTTGTAAGTGATCATTCTTTCTCTACAAAAGCGCCTTTTATGAATCCCCTTCTGTGTTCTAGGTGATGAATATGTCCAAATTAAATGATGCTCCTACAATGGATTCAATGCAATTTGGATCAGTGGGACTTATTAGGAATCCACCTTTCCCTCAGCAACAGCAGATGGTAATTTATCATGGAAACATTTATTATTTCCATATTATTTAATTTCGTAGAGTTCTAAGTAGTTTTAGAATTCTGACCTTAAATCTGTTATATTACTTTCTAATTGACATGGTTATGTTACCTCTTACCTACTTATTATGTGTATTTTTTTTTTCAAATAACGATATAATTACATTTTCGATGCTGCTCATAATGTACTGTTGCACATCTCTTATAAATCTGTCAGTATCACTTTTGCCAGGTTTTCCTGCAAGATCTCAGGTTGAAATATATAGTCTATCCCACTCCCATTTATTTTGAAGGTAAACAAAGCGAAAAACAATAAAATCAATTTTTCGTATACAGTAAAGAATGATATGTGCAGACTTTATTACACTGATTTCATTTGCATCATTCTTTTTAGACTAAAATAATAAATATAAACAAACTAAACTGCCGCTATTACGCGTTCTTTCTTGGATCATATATCTATTAGTATTTTATGGAATCTCTTAATGAAATATATATGAAATAAAGTCACTTTCCATTACAATATTAAAACAAAAACCTACGTTGGTCCGGTACAAACATATACAAATAACATTAATCATCTATTAATATGACTGAAACACTTTAAATTCAAGTGTTACCTACCTGCCATATATATCATACAGCCTATGATAAGCTTTATAAATCATAGTTTTTTTTTTTAATATTTTATTTACTATTGGATCAAACATACAATAGAATAATATATCTGTTTATTTACCTATCCGAACTCTGCACTCTGTCATCCATATGATGAGAATAATGTAATCCATAGCATTACATTATTAAAAACCTCAACCAAAAGGACTACTTATTAACTAATTCGTGTCTAGAATTGATATATTTTATTGCTTTTAATGATAATTGTGTGGTACAATTTGTGTTTTGTTTACATTCAAGATAAATAAGATCGGAATAGATTTTACAAATCAACATTTATGATAAGTATATAAAAGTTCAATAGGACAATATTGTTTTTATGTAAAACTTATGAAATTATAAAGATACATGTTGTACCTATTTCATTTTGTCTTTTAAACGGAAATTAATAGAATTTCATTGTTGTTATTTACTTATTTGAAGGGCCTACCCTTCAAATATTTTTATTACATTATTCATCAGTATCATTTTCATTATTCCACTACTAAAATACTGCACGCCTCCCGGACAGCGTCTTGACGTCATTCAGGTCCTAGTTTAGATTTCCAATTGGGTCAATGTAGGAATCAACTTCCTTATCTTTCTCTCTCTAAATTTTCTAATTTGAGTTTGGATATAAAAAGCACAACAGGGTGTATCGCATCTGAATTCCCCGCTGAAGGCGCTTAAGTAGCGTGCGTTTTTTTAAATATCACTTATCATCAGTGTGGCGGCATTAACAGCTTGTTATAATAGGGTCTTTGACTAAAGTAACAAAATTGTGTAATGGTTAGTCTAAAATATATAATGGGACTAGATTACGTAATAATTACAAATTACCAACAATAATATATTTTTACTTTTAAAAATAATCATTTTTGGCACTAAAATCAAAAACATCCTTTACGACGCGTGAAGTCGTGACTAGCTGTCAGTTATAAAGTTATCAGAACAATGTGACCGAATTGTATAATTTTTTATAAATCATAGAAAATAACGGTATTAAAAATCTTTTTTTAAATCAAATCGCCTTATAAAATTTTTACAAAATTGTGTATTAAAGTTTACAACATGCTTCGACTACAATTTTAATGTAAAATATCTATTTTTCTGTATTAACTCTGTTAAACACAATAACGGTCGTACCGTTGGCCGGGCTGCCGTTTAAGTGGGTAATGTATAAGGGCTAACTAATACTAGTCCATTGTCATTCTCGGTGTTGGTGGGATTGAACATTTTCGGGCCAGCGGGATTTAAGTATTTGGACGATCCAGCATATAGAAATAATATGCGTTACTAACATGATTTGAATTTTATTCATATTATATATAATAAAACAATTAATTGATCAATGTAAATTTACATTTATTTATGATTTAATATTAGCATGATACCGATCAAATTGTATTATTACGATCAACTAAATCTAGAAAAAACTAATATTTATTTATATAGTTGGACACCCTTCAGTTGAAAATGTTTGCGATGGCAGTGAATTACGCCGTTTCACCTTCGAATCTAATCAGCGGTATTCACTTTAGATTAGGTATATATTAGAATATCAAAACGAAATGAAATATAACAAATCATTTTTTTTTTTTCATTCTCATTTTGTCACCAATACCTGATTTTATTTTGCTCCTGGGGCTCAGGCCATCCCTATGGATTTTGGCAATACGGTCAACAGTACGTTAATCTATACAAAACTCAATTCGCAGACCTTAATGCATTTTAGGTAGAGTTCAGAATCAATTACGGAAATTGGTCATATTTTTATTATAATTAATGTATTATTATAACATTAAACATTATTACAATATTTAAGATTTTTCTTAAAGCAAGTAACTGCACTTTAGATCTCACAGAAGCCTTCACTGCTGCGAATTATTAGCATAGATAATCAAATTAAAACATATAATAACGCATGTAGGTAGATAGTTAACGTAAAATGATAATCGCAAATCCCGTCAATGCGTCAAATAGACATAGACATTTACGGGATTATGCCAGAATAACCAAATTTAGCTATAATTATGTTTAGTAAAAAACTCAACAATTATATGTTGTTTGTACAGAAATCGTCTGACATATTCACTTCTGCGAATATTTTTATTTAGTTTTCTTTGTATTATTATTGCGTTCTGTAACTTAACCAATTTGTGATTGAAGATGGTATAGGTTTGATTGTGTTCTAAATATTATAAGTTACCTCGTTTTTTGCTTAAGCCTTTATTTATACATATAGGTTCAAAGTAGAAATTATTTTTTATATCTGTGTACGTTTTTTGTTTGCAAGGTTATTGAAATCAAAGGTGTGTTCCCAGGTCGATTCCTTGTGGAGTCAGCCCTCCCCATCAAACGACCTTATGTGGGTGCAGCAGGCGATGTCTGGTCGTAATGACTCCAGGGTCAACAATTTACCAATGTTCTTTTGGGACCAACAGGTATGCTTGCTTATTTAACCACTGCATATGCTACGTAGATACTATTAACAACCATTAATATTTATTGAATGAACAGCACATAAAGTTTTATTTTAACTTTGATATGATTAATACAACTCCTTGCTGTATATAAGTTTACAATGAGGCCTGCTTAAAATTAGTTTTTAATTAAAATCATTATCTTCTTTATAAAAGCGTATTATTGAATGTTTTCAAAATATAAAAAATGATATGTATACTTTTATTATTTGGCATGTTTGAGTGAAGTTACATTTTAATAGATGTAAACGTCACTTCAAACTTATGGAATGAAAATCACTTCCGAAAATTTCATTTTAGTGACCCAAAAATAAAGTTTTACGTATATAACATCAATTTACGTGGACATTAATGGATGTTTATATTTTAATGTGTTATTTATTTTTCTTTGAAAATGAAAATACGATTAAAGCCTTAATTAATTTTGTTAAAAAATATAAACGTCCCGTGGGTGGGAATTTATAAGCGCTTATTAATAAACAACCTGCAGCATTGGTTTCATCACCGGATAGAACTTAACCTACGTATAGGCAGCCAAATTTTCTCTAAACTAGTCTTCAGTTTACGGGGTATGAGCAATTGAGTCAATAAATTCCCTTTTGAAACGAAATTCCATAGTATTTAATTGCAAAGAAATTGTAAATATAAGTCTTTAGCAGCAGCAAGTTTATTTGCTGACTAAGATATAAAGATTTCTAAATTCTCTCTGGTTTTGGGTGGTTGTGGTAGTTGTTTTAGATTTACATAATGGAAGAACTTTATACTTTCAACTTGGACTCTGCTTTGCTATTCTGTTGTAAACGACGTCGAGAGCAGTGCTGTGACGGCGTGGAACTTAATGCATGCAATTAAATCTCAATTTATTAAAGGAGGTTTTATTGATCGATTCTCTATACAGGGACTTCCATAACAATGGGGGTGGACTAACCCAAGGGAACTTAGAGTAGTGTTAAGAGGGGCGGTAAGCGTTTGCATTTTAGAAATAAAAACGATGATTAAAATAATACAAATTAATGATTATAATGTCACATTTCAAAATCCGATGTCAGAGATGTCAAGAGGATGTTTATGTAACTGTAGATGATAAACTAACAAATTTATCATATAAATGATGTTAAATTATGAGTAACACAATTAAAATTTGATTCACTCTAAGCACTCAATACAAAAGCAAGGAGCTTATGCGCACTGAACACATAAAACAGTGAGAAATTAAGAGGGGAGGTTACATAAAAATACTATTTATAGTCCGGGTAGCAGCCTCAACACAAAAAAGATTGAACCCTGCTCTTGTTATGACAGCGCTGCGCTTGACAGAGTTCTAAATATTGCTTTCGAGGATGGTGGACCGTATGTAGTAATTACAATGATCAATGCAAATAAGTATGCGATATCAATAATTATACTATTATTATACAGGTTATTCAATTCTGTCAAATCCTAAATATATTTTGAACCTTAAATGTTAAATTCAACACTACAAACATATACTGAGAATATAATGTAATTTATCTATTAAGACTTGTATATTTATTGTTTGTTTTTCCTTTAAATTAAAAACTAATTTAAGCAGGCTAGTGGATGCTCTAGTAAATCGATAGCGCTTAGAGCATTCATTCATATTTTATTGCTAACTTTTTAAACTACACTGGTTGAAAGCACTCGTAAAAATAGCTAAAATTACACTTGGTTTCTTAAACGTATAGTGTTCTAAAGATTTGTAGTTTTGATTATGCAATTGCGTATTGAGGGAAGGTATTATTTAATCTACAATATAGTAATGAGTTTGAGTGTTTGTTTTATTTATATTATAGCCAATTTTGAACGTAATTAAAAAGTCCAAAGAAAAATTGCTAAATTCGTGATATATATGAACACGAATTTAGTTAGTTTTAAAATTGTATGTCAAATCAATCTTGACATATTTAAATTCATCATTTTTATAATTGAAGCATTGATCTTTTGTAGTTAGTAGTATTTTGATATATATTCAGTTTTATGCTATGCAGTTGTATGCCCGCGTTGTATTATCCCGTTAGTATGTACTGTTTAAGAAACTAAGTGTAAATATGAAATTCAATTTGCACAACTTAAATAAAAAATATTTATATCATGTCGTGGAAATATTGAATTTCGTTCAATCGCTTTCCACCAAAGGAATCATGAATGACGTATTCTTTAAACAAATTAATTTATCCTTGGTGGTTTTAATCATGAAACTCGAATATTTCCATTGGTTGATGGGTCACTATTTCTTTTTGTTTTTTGACATTTCGTAATGACATGACGAGAATATATTGTAAGTAAAAATAATATCTTAAGTTTTAATGCTATCGATGGGCTAGGGTTGCCCTATGTTAAATTGTTTCTATTTATTCTTATTAAATAATACAACTGAGATATCCGGAATGAAAAGAGGGAGTATGAATTAATAATAATATTTTTTATAACACTACAATGCATGCTGAAATTACTAGATCGATCTTATGAATGTGGTAATTGTATGTGAATGTTTATACCAAAAAGTAGTAACTTGAATCGTGTTATTGTATATTTATCCTTCTTAATGCTTTTAAGGTGCAATTTCAATTTATTTTAATTTTCTATTGTGGATATTTGATATTATCTAATACGTTCACATTAAAAGGTAGCTGTCGAAAATAAAGTTTAATGATAAAGAGTATGTCAAACAATAGAAATGAACTATATAATTTGCTAACATGATAACAGCTACATAACAATATTTTTTTATTATACACATTATGCGTTTTACACATCGGTTATCAGATGTAAGCTTAAATGAAATAAAAAGAAAATTACAAAAACACAATATTCATTTGTTTCAAATAAATTTCTGATATAACACTAAATTGGAATAAATAATCAGGGTGTCCACTTTCTGGAAAGTCAGGGAAGGTAAAGATGGTAAGGGAAAGCCAGGGAAAGTCGGGGAAAAAATTTAGGTCAACTGTGAAGTCAGGGAAAAATATAAATCTTTTCCTTTCTTTCTTTTTTTTCCTAATCCCATCTCAGAGTAACAGTTACAAAATGCATTTTTTAAGCATATTTCATTATAAATATCTTCTAGTATAGCATTGTAAATATAAAAGTTAAATAATATATTATATACAACTAATCTTTGTTAAATCTTTATTATTACTATGATTTTAGAGCTCTTAAATTGAACATGAATGTTTTTATATTGTGTTGGTGGTTTTTATTTAAAAATATAGGATTCAAACTATATATTTGGCTTGTCTTATAATTCGGAGTGCAACAGTTTTCTTTAGGCACTATATATGATACAGTAGAAATCTATTACTGTGATATTAGGTGCCAACTTAACATTTATTTTGAATGGCGGTCCATTCAAGGCTTGTGATTGCCTTTAATTTTCTTCAACTTATCAAATTGTTGCATTGTTGCAACAATTTGATAAGACCCGGTAAAACTGGCACTTTTTTCTTAGTTTAATATCATGCGATCAGTCTACTTTTTTCACTTTGTTTTCCATGTCCGGTATTTTGCGTATCTGCAGGTGTTTGACACTTTCCGGCTTCGTCAGTTGTATAGTCAGTGTATTTGGATGATGATCTAGCTTATTTTTATATTTCTTTAGAATCATCTCGGCAATTTCTTCCTTGTTGTCGCTTGGGTTACTAGCGAGCCACGTTGATTTGTTGAAAATCTGTTTAAAGATCTCATTTTACGCGCTTTGAATTTTGTTAAAGTTGGTGTTATAGATTCGCATTCCCAAAAGTCTTCTTAATTATTATCTGCGTAAACTGTGCCTCGTTTTCCGTAATTAAACACGTGCACCATTACAAAGACATGTATTATGAATCAAAGAAACAATTGCTCAAGACATTTTCATATAAATTTTTAAAGGTGTGATAAACAACAGCTGCTGTCGCTTGCTAATACCCATAGTTGAAGTCCATAGATCCAAAATTGTTTTAAGGATAACGTTATGTAAGGCTAACTTATTGTCCAATGATAACTTTGAGTTCCTTCCGGGTAACCAGTACATCCCTTGAAATTGGAGATTTAGAATGTCTCTCTTTGATTAAAAATTTTTGGACCATGTAAGATGACGATCCAGGTGCATATCTGGGATATTTAACCGAGTCACAAGAAGGCAAGATTTTTGAACCCAGCCCTACTCTTTGGCAGTCGTTCTTCCGAATGTAATGTGTATCGAATTTGATGGGCTTGTTTTCATCTCCCAGTTTTAGCAATTGGACTAGATGCCAAAATAGCAGTATAATTAGCGAAAATAGCCACGATTATTCCCACTGTCTCTGGTAAATCAGACGTAAAGATGATGTACAGGTTCGATCCAAGGACCGAATCCAAGCTCCAGCTTGAATTTCATGAAAAGTTGGTTTCAGTGCTCGTGCCAGACCCTATCAAACGCAGAAAAACTGCCGAGTAATTTTCCTTCCGCTCAAACGTGCCTCCAATCAATTTGCACACTTTATGGGCTTGTCCTTTAGAGGAGTGTTCCATTCTAAAACCAAGTCAGTGATCTGGAATAATTCCCTTGTGTGTGAGCTTTCGTTTCAGTAGTGTTATTTTTTAAGTTTCGATAATAGCAGTAGACTGATGGATCGGTAAGGCGTTAACGTCATGTAGTGGTTTACTAGATTTTGCTATTATAATGATCGATGATACTTTCATAATGATGGTAAGTATCCGACTCTTGGGACAGTATTGAACAATATAATTGGGTACACTATCTCTTCGTGATAATTCTATGAATAACTTTTTGTCAATCATGTCAAATCCAATTGCGTTTTTATCCTCCATATTATTGATTTAGCGAGGTGTTGCCGTCGGAACTGGCAGGTCAAAGTGAAAATAATCTTTCTTCAAATAGACTTCTTTAAAGTATTTTTGGATCGCCTAACATTCTTTTCCCTACCACTCGTTCAGGATGTCTTTTTGAAACTCATCAGCTC